CTGTACCGGGTCGTGACGGCATCCGCGGGGAGAAAGCGGAATTCGGTTGGGATGCGATGCCTGCCTGCCGAGGGGAAGGCAGCGGGCAGGGCAGGGTGGCCCCAGCCTGCTCCTGGCTGCGTCCCGGTCAGTAAATCCAGGTGCGCATGTTCGCAAGGCTGAGATCCGCTCTGCTCTTCTGGGATCCGCGGGGCAGATCTTGTTAGATGTGGTTTAATCTGTTTTGCAACTTGCAGGCACTTAGTCAAAAAAAGAAAAAACCAACCAAAACCCCAAAGGTTTTTATTCTACTACGTTAACTCAGGGAAAGAAGACATGGAGAAGCTGTTTTAGATACTAAACTGCCTTAATTTGGAGTTGTATTACTAAACAAAACTCTGAATGTTTGATTTTGTTGCAAGACACATGACAGCTCTGTCACTTCAGTGATGTCTCTCATTTTCTGCCGGTGTTTTTATGTTGACGTGAAACAGATCAGAGATCACAAACTTTCTGATAGTGGCTTTAGCTGTGAACTTGGCTTTCTTCTAGGATGGTCTGATGTTTTACAAGGACTGATTAGTCATGGTCAGACCTGACGTAAGGTACTATGTACGTGAAAGCTGGTTGGGTTTTTTTAATTTCCTAGCAGCATTTCCGTTTAGTAAGTTGGTTATGAAACGTACAAAAACTTGTAGTTTGAGTGGATGAGAGCATTGGCATATTCAAAAAGGGATTGATGAATTAATGGACAGAGGGCCTATAAATAGATACCAAAAGGATTAGATGGGAGTGTACCTTCCATATTCCTAATACAATAATTGCAGGTGCTGGGAAGCACGAGGCGAGTGGATGACTCGCAGTGTGCAGGCTTGTATATTTTGCCTGAATAACGTCTCTGGTTGCCACTGTTGGAGACAGAGTCTGGGAGTAGTAGACATCTGAGCCACTGGGACATGTTCTTGTGGTCCAAATGTATCAGTGAGTCAAAGCATTGCTTTAGGATGAAAAGGCAAAACCTGTTTGCTTGCATACCCTCCCATGTGTCTGTTAGGAAAATTATGCCTACAGTAGCTTCATTCTTCAGTAAAGTCTATGGCTTGACATGCAGTTGCTCCATGTTGTTAAGTAACTGAACAGCGAGCGTGTGGCTTGACCAAATTAGTTGATGGCACTGGCAGGAGGGTCATGATGTCCTCGCAGCATGCTGCCTGCAAAACACATCATCACAGTTCAGCCAGGAACACCTGAATTAAGGCCATAACCTCCAGCTGAAGGAGACTATCTTTAGAAAATCATATGGTCTTACATACACATTCAGTTTGTTTACGTGGTATGTTGGGTGTAGTCAGATGAATTCTGGTGTCTCTAGCTTGGAGACTAAAGGGTGTCTCTTTTGGGGTATTCTGGACGCCATAATCCCAAGAGGAGGTGGCAGGACAAAGCCTGCCTAGGTGGCAGCTGGAGCAAAGTGGCAGACAGGGCTGAGGTGCCCACATCTGTCCCCGCTCTCTGGGGTGGGGAAGTCTTTGTTAGGGAGAAGTGGCAATTTCTTAGTTGTTTACATCTCTGGTCTTAGAAAGAAGAAATTCTGTAGTGAGAAAAATTACTAAACAACAGTTCCTGTAACGTAGCTTACAAACCAAAGGAAGGAACAAGTGAGTTTTACACAGAAGCATAAAAAAAGTGAGGCGTTAGAGATGCCCTGAATCACCCAGCAGGTAACCCTTGGGGCATTCATTTCCTGAAAGAGAAGGTGCTTTCCAAGTGTTCAGAAGTCTTTCCAACACTGAGAGACAGCACAAAGTCAGGAATAAATGACTGCCATTAAGAAGGAACTGCGTGAACTGAAGCTAAGTTTGTAAAAGTTAAGCTTGTATATTTACTTTGTTAGACAGCTTTTGTGAGTCTATAATATAATGTATGTGTCCTTTTGTAGAGCTCAGCTTCTCCTTTCTTCCTCTACTGGCCATTGCAAGACCAAATGGTTTAACGTTTCTCTAAATGTGACCGTTGAACTTTCACCCACTTCTGGATGTATTTTCAGCTTGCTATTTATTACTTTCCTTTGTAGGTTTGGTAGCAGACGGAAGTACATTTCTGATTTTAGAATCTCTGAAATGTACTGTAATCCCTTTTTCCAAGAGCATGAAACAAATGTGCTTCAAGTACAATTGATTGTCTTTTGCTTATTTTGAAATAGATTTGTGAAGGTGCTGACAGTTAAGCATGACAATTTTGTGTTTGTTTTCTCAGTGCATTAATAATCACTACCGATAAAACATAAGGCTGTCAACTGGCTTTCAGCATACTAATGATGAGGTTTTGTATTTCCATGTGGAGTTTTGTCCCAATCAGCTACACATTTTTTTACAAGCTCGGGATTGACTCATGTCCTGGCTCAGCATAAGGCACTTCGACAAACGTGCAAGTGTAATCACATGGTTCAAGTGCGTGATGCTTATAGGGCAGCTTATATAAGAAGGTTTCAAAACCTACTGCAGCAGGGAACCGATGCTGTTATCCTAATCTTAATTTGGGGGGAGCAGAGCTGGGAAGGGATGGAGTGCCTTATCTGAGGTCAGAAAAATTCCGGTGGCAGAGCTGGAAACTGAGCTGGGTTTTCAGAGCCTCATTCCTGCACCCTCTTTAATGTCCTGTGCTGCCCCAGAGTGAAAACAGAAACTTAGACTTTCATAATATTAATGAATTGATATGAAAATGTTTAACTGAGAAGGAGAGTATTTGCCCCTCTCACCTGTCTCAAAATGGGACATGGTGACATTTTTACAGAAAACTGTGATATAACACAATTTTAGATCGGGAATTAAAAACTATGTACATACATGTGTATACAGGTATGTCAGAACTTGGCTTCATTGAAATTTGGATGACATAAAAGTAGTTATGGGATTGAGCCATAGATTAAGTGATAATTACCGTTTTATTTGATGGCTGTCAAGAGGTGTCTAAAGCAACATTTCATAATTCTGCTGTTAACAGCAGGATTGATCAAGGCATTTTTTTGACTTCTAACCACTCTCCCTTATCAGAGTAAAGAGAGCAGCATGTGTTTATTGAGTAAACCCTTTGAAATAAGTTATTTCTGAACACCACTGTCAAGATACTTGCTATTCTGGTGCATGGCAAGGAAGAAAGGATTTTTTGGAACTGGGACAGCTGTTAGTGGAGGTTTGGAAGGATAAATGGGTTGGCATAGAGGCCATCAGATGGATATATATGGAAGAAGGTAGGCAGCTGTACAGGGGAGAAAACTATCCTCATATTTGTCCTTGTTAGCCAAGCGATTCCTTCGTGCTTCTCTGCCATGCACTTGCTTTCGGAATAAAAAATAGGGCATGGAACATCAACATTCAGGGTTAGAGAGAACAGTGATCAGTTCTTTCTAACATTTTAATATCTATCTACCCATATATTCCAGAGTGTTTGACTTCACAGTCTTGGAATCGGTTTATATTAAACCGAGTTGTTAGTTGTGGCAGAGAGGTCTCCAGCAGTGGCACCTGAGCAGAAACTGAACCACGCTGGAAGTTCTATTTGCAGGAACAGATAACTTTTGTCTCTCTCTAGTATAAAAGCAAATCATCATGGGTGAATAAGTATATGCACAAAACCTTACATTAAAATGTAATCTAGTTTCTGCTTCTAATTAATAAACTGTAAAACAGTCTTCTTGATTTCTTTTCAGTTCTGAAGGAAATTCATAACACTGAGAGCACTTGTATTTGAGGACTGTCTTTATACAACAATGTTGAAAGTACGTATTCTTTACTCGGCAGTAATGCACCTGCATTAAGAAATGGTTCTGTAAAATAAAAGAAAATAGGCATTCACCTTTAAACAGGATAAACTGCCTGAAGTACACACAAAACAATATGTTCTGCACACAGCTAAATGGAGAAATGATCCTGTTTGGTTTTCACTAATCTCTATTATTGACTACAGATATTGTAGTTGGCATTTTGGACTCTAATGTTATAGAAATGTGTTTTGCAAAGTGAAGCCAGACTTGAGGATAGTACCTGCATTTTTTAAAGTAGGATGTTTAGCCTTAGACAGTTCCAGCATCATTACCCATGTGAGTCATGAGTGAGAGTTGGCTCAGCCCTGAGTAGTGTTGTATGAAAAAAGAGCCTTAGCTGTTTGCTTAATTCCTGATCCTGCCGAGGTCGGTGCAGGACCTTGGGTCTGACCATCTGCGAAGGCAGTGGAGGAAGCAGCTGATGTGTTCAGCTGGGCTTGAGGGGTATGCTGCCTTTTTTCCCCTGTCCGGATGCGACCTGTTGCAGTAATTTAGTGGCTAAAGGTCAGAGATGTGAAGCTGGACAGCGTCAGCTATGGAAGTCCTATGAGGACAAAGTATCCCAATATGCTGAGTACTGTTAGAGGCTAATAGAAATGAGCAACAGAAAAACGTTTTTTTGGGATTTGTTTTGGTTTTTTTTTTTTTTGTATTTTGGAACGCATGACTAATATGGAGTACAAGGCCAAGAGGGAGGTAAGCATCGTAGCAGTGAGCATTTGGGATTCTTCATGAAATTACCAGCTGAGGAGCCAATAGAAGAATCATAATAGTTTAGGGACAGTAAAGGTGAAGTAATGGTACCTCTCTAGAGCAGTACATTACTCATTCTGTCTACTTTTTATCACAACCCTGATGCCTTTCTTCATTTATTGAAAAATTTCTCCTACATGAATTAAATCTTTCAATATCTGGTACCCCTCAGCAAAGGATTTACCAGGAGGAAGGTGGCAGTCTTGAACAGTTTCATCTTTAGGGGGTCCATGAGTTGTCCCTACTTGAAAACCCCTATTACAGGGATGCCCTGGCAAAAGGAAATGAAGTTGTGGCTGTAGTGGTTGCTTTGCCTGACTTGTTGGAGAGCTGGGGAGCATCACAGTGTGAATGTAAATCACAGTGCCGCCAAGGCAGCCATGGGTCACAGGGAGCCAACGGCCCCAGAATGAAAGGCTGCAATAAGAAATGAGCAATAGATTGTCACTAGGGCTACTGTGATGTGTCCACAGTTGGCTCAAACAGCAGTAAAATACTGACGTTTGCCTCGCTGGCCTGTCTAGCCCTCCTCTCCTGGGGTGCTCCTGCTCGTCCAGCCCTGCATCGCTTGGCAGCAGCTGAGCTCTCTTGGTGCGTGTCAGCCCATTACTCGGACCAGCCCATGGTGCCAGGAAGTTCACCAGCCACATTTCCCCAGTTACCTGTTCTGAAAACAGAAGTGTTTATTCAGACAGGTCCATAAAACCATTTGTTACATGGGAAAACTTGTGGCTGTGACCCAGACTGAGTGATAGCACAGCAATTCTGGGCTAATTACCCACAGGGCTTTCATCTTTGTACTATCCCCTTTTCTCTGAGTTTGTATTTATTTTTTGCTGTAGTCCCTTGATTTCTTAATTTCCCCCTTGTTCTTTTTCTTTCTCTTCCTTTTCAGTAGCTTTTTTTTATTACAGCACTGTATTCTCTCCCTTTTCACCAGAGAACATCACTGTTTCTCTCTTCTCTTCCACATGCATACACACACACATGTAATTACCATATATTTAAGTGCTGTATTTGATAGACTGCAACAGTCATAGAATCGTAGAATGGTTTGGGTTGGAAGAGACCTCAAAGATCATCTAGTTCTAACCCCCCTGCCATGGGCAGGGACACGTTCCACTAGATCAGGTTGCTCAAAGCCTCATCCAACCTGGCCTTGAACACTTCCAGGGATGGGACGTCCACAGCTTCTCTGGGCAACCTGTTCCAGTGTCTCACCACCCTCAGAGGGAATAATTTCTTCCTTATACCTAATCTAGATCTCCCCTGTTTCAGTTTAAAGCCGTTACCCTTTGTCCTGTCGCTATATGCCCTTGTAAAACGTCCCTCTCCAGCTTTCTTGTAGCCCCTTTAGGTACTAGAAAGCTGCTATTACAGTAAGGGTAGTAAAATCACAAATACCAGCAAAGATCAAACCAATTATCACTCACATGAGATGATCAGATACAGTTTTTATAATGGATTTAAGCCAATCCAACTGTGGACTGCTGCCAAAAGGGCTGGTCCCATCTTTTTCCCTATTCCTTCTTTCCTGCTTTGGGTTATCAGCAAGATAGTGACCTGGCTGAAGTTTCGTGTGGTTCCTCTGGTTTTGCTGGGTTCATATTGGGCTGGTGCAGCAAGGTGATACTCTGAGGCTTCACGTTTGTTAGTGCCAACACAAGAAAGGTGCCAGGGAAGCACAGCCAACAGGATGGGTGAGTCTGCCCTTTGCGTGGCAATATAGTGCTAGAAGCAAGTTAACCAGCCATTAAACTGGTTTCTTCTGCTAGTAGTTGTATTACAGAGTGATAAGATACATAATATCTATTTTAAATACTTCTTTATAGATAAATATATATATATAAGAATTTTATTTGTAAGAACTTTGGACAAGACTAGCTCTTTGCCAGCAAAAAGTGCAATCCTGATGCCTTATAAGTAACAACCAAATAGGCTGATCAGATAGATATACTTCCAAAGAATCTGATAAGTGCTTGGCAAAAAAATTGCCTATGCCTAGCAAAAAAATTAGGACTGTTGCTTTTGTGCTTTGGTGTATGAAACATCTCTTCCCGGTTTTTGGATTCTTGGCAAGAGTGGTCTATTATAGAGGAAAAAAAAAAAAGGCATGTGATAACCTGCAGATGGTCATGGTGCTCTGTAGTTTAAAGAACAGGGCAAAACACTTCTCGGTAAACACCACTAACCAGCTTTGAAAATAAACATTTCTGATTCCAGGGAACATGTGGTAATCTTGTCTACAAAGAATGTGAAGTAAAGTGGGAGAAAACTAAAATGAGATGTCTATTGCAGCGCAGTCAGGCTGAAAAAATCTACAAAAACATTTGTTTTCCCTGGCAGTGTTCCTGGTGGTTACCTTCCCTGGGAGCCTCCGCAGGGCACACAGGGGATCAGATCTTTAGCTGGTTACATCAGTGGCAGCCCAGCAAATTGTCTGCCAAATTATTAATAGATGCATTGCCCTTCAGATTTCAAACTCAAACTGGCTTTTCCTGTAAGAATTTTGAAGTAACAGTGTGAGAAAAGCATGATCTGAAATTCAGAGCTACAAACAGCCTTGTGAAATCAGCATTTCTTCCCGCCCAGTGGAAACTTTGTGTTTCTTTTCCCAGACAAAAGCCTTGCGGTATTAAAAAAAAATAATATTCCATCCAAAAAGCAGCAAACATTTTAAAATTTGGATTCCCACCAAACCATGTCAGCAGGGTGACATTACCATAAGCTAAAGCAAGAAAAGAAAGTCATTTTTGTAAATTCTTGTTTTGGAAGTGGCTTCCTCTCCCTGCTCGCATAGCAGCCCATTGTACTTGGCGTAGACTTTTTTTTGAAAAATGTCAAAGATTGTCTTTTTCTGCAACAACCTGCATTGGAAGTGGGGCTCTGCAGGGCTGTTGCTATACAGCACCTGACTGAAAGCCAATATTTAATTTTTTTACATTCAAACTAATGATGACAGATTAAAAAGTCACATGTAAGGAGCTGGGGCTGTAGATCCAAGGAGGCAGATCTTCTTTGGCATGGGTGCTGTCGAATGCTGCAAAATTTGCTTTTCCTCCAGAGGTGTGTGTTTGCCTCCGTTAGCCCTTCCCTTGCCCTGAGCAGGCGCTCCTGGCAGAGGAGCTGAAACTCGGCACTGAAAGCAGCTGTGAAAAGGCTTCTGCAGAATTTTAGTAAAGAAACCCAAGTCAAGACAATGAAGTGGCTGGCCTTGTGAACAGACAATAGAGAAAAAAAAAAAAAAACCAGAAACTGTGAAAATCTGATTTGCAAAATCGTGCCCGTCACGAGGAACCAGAGTTGGCTTCCACTTAGTTTTTGAACAGGTTAAAGGGTGGCAACTATCCGTTCTTCGCCACGTGAACGCGGTCAGACCGGTACCCGAGTGACCCCGCTCCCTCCGGCGTCAGCGTCGTTAATTCATACCAGCAGGTTTGTGCTGTACAGGGGGTACTGGAAGAACTAAAACTGTAAACTGGTTGTGTGTAGACAAGCTGCATAACAGTACACTTTTTCTTCCAGATATCTGTTACCTGTATGTAAAGTAAAAAGTCACAGCTGGCTCTTCATTATGGTAGTGATCCTAAAGATTAGGATATGGATTAATGGTGATCTATAGTGATCCTATAGATTAGGCATATGGATTAATTTTACCTCCCGACTTCATTGCCTTGACTGGGAAAGTTGTACAGAAGGCTTAGCTGATTATCCAATTTCTAGCCTTTATCACGATGATGGAGATTAACTTTACAAAAAGGGAAAGACTCTCCACTACTTTATGGTGTCCAGACTGGCCGTTGAAGTTGCTGCAGTCCTTTGGCTCACCCTTTGCCACTGCTTTTGCACCAAGTAGGGAATGGGAACAAGCGTTTACTAGGAATAGTGTGCAGGTCGTGTGTGGGGAGCAGGTCACGACCATTTAGGCTGGAGGAGTGCTGTAGATTCCAGCTGAGAGAAACAGGTTTTTAATCTATTCAGGGCAAAGTTTTGAAAATAAATACGAAAATAAAAATGCTGGATAGCCAAAGGGGATAAAATCTCTCTCCTTCTACCATAAGGGGACAGAAAGATCAGATCGTTCTTCGTTTTCATAGTAGTTTTTTACACACCCCTACAAAAAAAGTAATGCACTTCAGTCTCTGGGCTTGGAAGAAAAAAATCACTAACCTGCCATGGTTCTTGGATAGTGTTTCAGATCCTTCCCAATTCAGGAGGTAAATACAGGATGTGCCAATAAACAACCATTATATTCCTTTAAGACCACTATTGTTTTCAAATTTCTTTGCAATCCTTGAGAACTTTCTTAATTTGGAAGTGGAAAGATTTATGTTTTGGGGTGGAACAAGAGAAATACTTTGCATTTTTGATGCCTTACCACCACAAAAACTTTGCCTGTGTGGTATTGCCCTCTGCTGGCACCCATCAAGCCAGCTTGACAAGTCCCACAGTGGAGTACGCTGGTGAGGTTCGTCTCCTTTCGGAGATGTCTTTCAAAGTGCTCATTCACAGTTGTCTTGATCCACACAGTTTGATTTATTTTGACAACAGAGAATCTTTTACGGACAGGGTTTTGTTTCAATACGGCTTTAAAAGCATTAGAGGTCTTTGATAATCATTCATTTCCCAGTGAATATTCTAAGAATCCTTTTTTGTGTAAGACCTGCCCTTTGATGACGGTTGCATTAAACATCAATGCAGTATCATATGATGTGCTCTGAAGTAACAGAAATCTCCTTTTTTTTCTTTTTTTCTTTTTTTTTGTAGTGTCACCTGATTCACTATCTGAGACTCAGCCATCACTTGGTAGTTATTAATTATTTGATTTATACCTTCGACAAGCTGAAGTCTGTCTCCTCTGAAGACATTAACATCACGGATGCTGTTTTTGATGGTGTGGAAGTCAGAGTGTTTGAACCTCCTGCGAAGGGAGATGAAAGGCTCAAGCGCAGCGTTGTTTACATCCACGGAGGCGGCTGGGCCTTGGCGAGTGCAAGTATGTGTCTGCCAGTAATTAAATACAATTCTGGTCTGTTTTTTTTTTTCCTAGCAGGAGAAGCTGAATCCTGTTTTTCCTGCTAGGGATGACCATTTTGGTAAGACATACCCGAATTCAGTAGTAACTGTCTCCACTCTGGTAGATCAGCTCTAAGGAGGGAGTGGGAAAAATACTACGAACACACAGCAAAAATGCGTATCTTATCTGCACATGAGCTGTGAAAGACCAAAAGGTTAATTTTGTTACATCCTGAGAAGACAAAATAGCTTATTGTTTAAATTCCTGGGATTCCCGGATGGGCTGTTTGGGCCAGTCCCCTGTTTTCTGTGGTCATGTGCAAATGTCAGTCCTTGGTGATCAGGATCCCGTGACTACACAAAGGGTTTTGCTGCATTTTCACACAATAATTAGTAGAAGAGTGGGCTGAACAACACTGCGTGTAACGGTGTTGCTAATGTTTGACTGTTAAATAACACATTACTTGAAATACATGCTGCTGATCAGAGACAGCGGGCAGTGTGATGAAGGAAATGGGTGGAGGTGGGTTCTCGTCCCGTGGTCTGGCCCCCTCCCTTAGGGGATCACTGCCATGACCAGCAGAAATTACCTTGAAACTTAATGTTATTTACTCCAATTAACTCAAAAGCCACAAACATGAACAGAGAAAGTAAGGTATACCTATAGACAACGATAAGCTAACCACTGATCCTTCCACATCGTACAGGAGGAGAAAAGCCTTGGGAGGAGAAAGCCGGTGCAGTTCTCATGGCTGCTGCAAGATCCAGATCTGATAGGAGTCTCCTCCCTTTTCCTTCCTTGCTCCTGTGACATCATGAAGTCCATACAGCCCTGATGCATTTTATAGCTTTATCTATAGAAAAAGAACATTGATGGGGTTTTCCAAAATCTTCCAAAACAAAGACTGTATTGATTGCTTTTCAACTATGCATGTGTAAGTCACTTAGATCATGAGATTTAGGTTCCTAAATAACTTCAAAATCTGACCTTCATGTGCCTTTGGAAATCCCAATCTTTATCCTGTAGTCATATAGCAGTTAAAAATTTTGCTCCTCTTCCTATAGAGGGATTGTGCTTTGAGATGGGTTTTCCTAAGCCTGCCTAAAGGATGTTTGTTAGCGTCCTGCCGACCTCATTTGTTCTGTAACACTTTGCATATGACTCTTGCTGTGCAAAAAGTTTCTATTAAATTACCACGCTTTGTTTGGATGACTGTAATTCAGCTAGGTCAGATGCTGTCGTCGACTCCAAGATGCAGAAGTTAATGGCACAAATGCTAAAGCTAAATATTAAATTCTAAGACTAGATACTTTAGAAAACAGTTAGTGTCTCAGTATATTTTATAGTACCAGGAACCAACGATTAAGTAACTGGAAAGGAATAAAATTAAAGAAAATCAGTCTATTGATAAATAAGATAGCTGTGATTAATCCTCCTTTAAATGAGTAGTTCAGTTGACATTAGTAGGGCAACTCATTTGAATCTAAGCAATACATGCTATAATAAAAACAACAAGCAGTGACTCATACAGCAATAACTGTCTCTGGATGCTAATGTCCCCCCAAGCCATTGGGTACCTTACATTTTGCCCAATCGAGAGAATTGTGATAGGTGGATGAAATGACATGCCCCAAGTCACCGAGAAACAGATGAGGAGGAAAGCATTAGACTGCAGACTTCTGAAGGCATAAATTGTGTTCCTTCTGCTACAGTGTGTACGTGGCGCTTCATCTATTGCAAGCTGATCTCATTTACTTTGCATGTATTTGTGTGATGTCTTTATATTTTCTGAGAAGGCTTACGTAGGGCTTTGTGACTATTGACATAAAAGGACTCCTATGTCCCTAATGCCGTGTCCTTTCGTTCCAGGAACAAGCCTTTATAACAATCTCTGCAGAATCATGGCTGAATCTCTCAATGCTGTCGTTGTCTCAGTTGAGTGAGTAATCTAAAACTGATCAAGTAATTTTAAGGTATTAAAAATAGGTAACATAGGTCTTTTAGCTTTTCCCTTGTTACTGGCTTGTGTATAAAGCTTTTGCTTGGACAATAATTCTTTTACCTGTCTGATATTTTTATCCTTTTAAAATTACAACAAATTGGAACAATACCAAAAATTCATTTGAGTTTCTAATTATTTTAGAAGCCAGAAATGTGGGAAAAGAGCGTAGCACTTAATCCAGTTGGACAAATACTAAAATGCAAATTTTAGTGCATCTTGCAATTGTATCTACTTGTGAGGAATGCAGCTAAAACCTGAGCTCACTCAAGTGCCAACTTAGGATGCTGTAAATTCTTGTCAACTTTAAAAACAAACAAAAAAGCAAAATGCATTTGGACATGATATATACCTGAAGGAAGGCTGAACCATATCTCTCTGCCTTCCCACTTAGCAAGAGGGATTTTTCCCATCCTCAGTAGCCACTTCCACTGCTGCAAGGTATATTTTTGTATAAATATTTAAAATAATGTTTTAGTATACGATATTTAATATATTAAAATAATAGACGCTATTTAACATTTAATATATTATATTAAAATATATATTAAGCTCCCCTCAAGTCTGTAAACCGTCGTTTTAAGTCACATTGAGCAAGGGTCTGCAACATAAAAATTATCAAATGATCTTACCCTTGCTCATTAACCAGAATACACCGTGGAGTCCGGCAGTTTCCTGCTACTCTCTATTTCCCACTGTTCAACCATCTCATTTAAGCCTTGCATTCCACTCAAGAGCAGAGGACTGGCAGGGGGCCAGGGCCGCTTTTTTTAACTTGTCAAACAATTCCAAGGTAGACAAACCTCTCAACTAGCTAACTACATTACCTGGGTGACTCCAACTTGATTGGTATTTTCCCATCCTTATTGTCAACTTCAATATTTTCTTTTGCAAACCCAGTCACTTGATATAAACTCAGGTTTCACACCTGCAGTTGATTACATACTAAGTTCTGTGATCTAATTGCAACTTAATTGGATGGAGTTGATGTACTTTAAAGGGTCGATTTTTTTGGTACTTCTTTGGCTTTTATTAGTAGAAACAATGAAAAGTAAAGAAGCGACCGTTTGTTATTCCAGATGAGCAGCAATCGCAGTATTGATATGAATCGCAGTATTATTATTCCTTTCTGATTTATGGTGGTATAATTCTTCCTGTTTGTCTAAGTTATTGTTCAACTCTTCTCCTTAGCCATTATATTTTTCAGTCAAGGCGTTTTTACTCAATTAGTGAAGACTAATTAGATTTCTCGTTGGTTTAATTGCATGTCTCGCTTTCATGATATATGCACAGTCTGTTACCCAGTTTTGTGAGGAGTTCCCAAAGGACTCTTTCATATTCCTTCATAGTTGATGCAATATATAGATTTGTTTTCTGAAAGCATGTCAGATTTGCAGTTTGAAACGCTTTTCGTTTAACCAAAGTTTAAAATTTATTCTGCATGTGGAACTTTATTTAGCCTAGATTCTGAAGAAAATGTTTTGAATCAGAAAATTGGATTTTGTTTTGCTTGTTTTGCTCAGTTCTGCTGAGAATATGTAAAATCTGTTGATTGAAAAGCTACAAACAGAAGACGTGCTTTGTACCATAAGGCCTAGTAACAACTCTTAGATTACGAAATATTCAGTAAATGTGAACAGACTTCTCCTGCGCTGTTATTGAGAAACTGAGAAAGTCTCATGACTGGGACTCAGCTGCTGACTGTTCCTGGGCAGACTGTTTGCTCTCTGTGCCTCAGTCTCTCCACCTGCACAATGGGTATATTCCTGCTCCACTCCTCGATAAAGGAGAGGAATTACTGAATCTGTTGCATTGGAGCAAATTGGTGTTCACTTCTTGGCTGTTGTTTGTTTCATGGCACAGAGGTATAGCAAGGTTTATTCTCTGAGCATAGGTAAAAATTTGGGAAACAGAACTGCTTAGGCGTTTGGCTCACTGGAATCTGCTGGGTGTGTATGACTTACTCTCCCTTGTACTAGTAAGGCGGGGATTTGGATCAAAACCAGCCTGATTGCAATGACTCCCTTGCCAAGGGTGTTTTAAATATTCATTCATTTTAATCACCTATGATGAAATCCACTATTGGGAAATCCTAGCAAAGTGCTGCACAATTTTATACTATCTGGGTATTATTTGTATCTAGTAGGTTTGTATTGATCTTTCAGAATTAGAGCATTAATTATAAGATTAAGTCTTACATAAGTATTACACACCTCACTTTTTTTCTATAATATTTATCCTAATTAAATAGTTATTTGCTATTAAGGAATACCTCATAGCACCTATTAATCCTGAAAGAGAGGTACATTGACGGTAGTAATTGTCTCTCATCTCTTTTCTTTGTAGATACAGGCGGGTACCAGAGGTCTGCTTCCCCGAGCAATTCCATGATGCTCTTCGTGCTACGAAGCACTTTTTGCAGCCTGATGTTTTAGCTGAGTATTCGGTTGACCCGAGTCGAATTGCAATTTCTGGCGATAGCGCAGGAGGAAATTTGGCAGCTGCTGTGTGTCAGCAGGTAACACCTAGGGTCTGTTATGTATTACGCTACAACAATCCCTAATTTAGTGATGCACATAGGTTGTCAGATTGTTTGTGCTGCATCATCACAAGGGGATGTGCCAAGCCTAAAGACAGAATGGTAGAAAGCCAGCATCTAGTCACTTTACAGAAGAAAAATGAGTCAATCGCACTATGAATCACATCGCTTGCGATGTCTTACTACAGTTCAGAGTTTGTTTTGGGCCAGATTTAAGAGCAAGCTGCTAAATGACTTTTTTCACCCTTTTTGCTGGTGAGTTTTTTATTTCTTCTAAGTAGGTAACTAGGTACATGCATAATTTATCAATTCAGCTTCCTGTTTTCAGATGCTTGTCTCTGAAGATGTGTTTTTATTTCTTTCAAATACAAATGAAGGACAAAAACTGTAATAAACCAAGCTTAATTCTTCTGTTAAATTGTCTTCCTGTAGCATTTCACAATTTTAAGGAAATTTCTTTCGTGTATCTGCAGTTTAAATGTGATCTGAATTTAATCTAGTAAAGATTTTAAAGGCAGCCTGGGGCGAGTAATAATATTTTTCATGATTGAGTGAAATATTGTTATTAGCTTTTTCATGCTGCCATAACCATTGGTGATAAGAAAGCGGATACCGTGTCCAGCCAACTGATTATCATGACAACCTTACAATACTGAATTAGGGTGAAAAGCTTAATAAGGGACAATTACATTAAGCGTTTCAATATTGAGGACTGATAAACATGATAGATCCATGTTTTGGAAACAGCAATCCTAGTATGTTTACCTGATGCATAGTTCTTTTAAAATCAGTGATGTAGGGCTCTTTCAGGGAGAGGTTAAATACACTAAGACTCTTCAGCCTGAAAAAGAGGCAGACAAGATGAGATGTGATGGAGAATTGTGTGTCTTGTGTAGAAGATGAAGCAAAACAATTGTTAGGTGATCGTTCCAGTAAAAGAATTAGGCGTCAAATGTATAACTGATAGGCTCAAATCAAATGGAGTTGGCAGGTTCAAGTCAAACATAGAGAGGTTCTTCTGCACATGGTGAACTTTTGATAGAGAAAACTGTGGGTGCCGACAGTTTGCATATGCAGAAAAAAACAATTAGATGAATTCACTGAGGCAAAATCCCTGAAAAACTGTTAAAAGCAAGAATAGCTCCTTTGATTCAGGAACTCCCTCAGTTTCAAATTGTTAAACTGGGAACTGCGTTAGGGAAATGCCACTTAACACCTTTTTTTTTTCCTTCTTCTTACACCCTTTAATAAACTTCTGTCACTGATTTCTGTTGGAGTCTGCCCCAACAGCCATCCTTACAAAAGAAGAAAAAGATCAGGCTGCTAATATTTCAGACAAAAGAGCAACATTATTTGCGTAAGAGCAGGATTCAGCCTAAAAGTTGCCAAATGAATGATTGCTTGTATGAAGTTCAAGGTTGATATTGTAATGTTTATTTTCTTTATAATCCGAATCCTATCCTTTATTTTTCCCACAGCTTAGCAAAGATGAGCGTTTGACCATCAGACCGAAACTGCAGGCCTTAATTTATCCAGTCCTTCAGGCATTTGACTTCAACACACCTTCTTATCAGCAGAACATGAACATGCCCATTCTTCCTCGTTTTGTCATGATCAACTATTGGATAGATTATTTCAACGGTAATTATGACTTGGCTCACTCACTGCTGATTAACAACCACACTGCTCTTGACGTTGGCCAAGCTCTTTCTTTCAGAGGACGTCTGAACTGGACATCTCTACTGCCTTCATCATTCAAAAAGAGCTACAAGCCTGTAATACAAACCACAGGCAAGGCGGAAATCATCGAGGAGATACCAGCGCTGCTCGATGTACGAGCAGTCCCGCTCCTTGCAGAAAACGAAACTCTGCAGCTGCAGCCAAAGACTTACATCCTGACCTGCGAGAACGACGTCCTGCGAGATGACGGGGTGATGTACGCCAAGCGCTTGGAGAACGCCGGCGTGGACGTCACGCTCGATCACTTCGAGGACTGCTTTCACGGCTGTATGATATTCACCATTTGGCCTACCGATTTCTCTGCGGGCATTCAGACCAGGAACAGCTATATAAAATGGTTGGATGAAAACCTCTGAAGAGAGAGTCTCTCTAGAAGACGCAGGGTGCTCAACTCTGGTGTCTGCTCTTGCTAAAGAGCAAACAATGAAAAAGTACTTTTCCAAATTCAGACTTGATTGTTCAGCTGCAGCTGCTGGGGCTCACAGACCACTCACTACAGCATTTACAAACTTGATTGGCCTTGCCCAGCAAAGTATTTTGATAAATACTTTTTCAACCTTTGTGTTTTTTTTTTTCCCCTCCCTTCTTTCTAGACTATTGCCAAACAAACAAATGTTGAGCAGGGAGATCAGCATTCCTGTGGCATTCTTAACTGGCTTTAACTTTCAAGCTTTGACTCTTAATTAGGCACAAAGGCCACAGTTTTCAAATGATGAGCGAGGTAAAGCCAAACACCTACGTCTACATCTGAATATGTAAAAATGGGAGCTAGTTTTCAACAGTGGTGAGCACTTGATATCAAAGAAAGTGTGAGGCTCTCACCTTTGGCAGCAGAGCCATGCATTTGAATGTCAAACATGGATTTAGCTCTTGGCCTTTAGGCACATAGACAAATGGCTCGTTTACATTTAAAAGTAGAAAATAAAAAGCACTCTTCTAGGCAGTTAAAATGACTCTAGACAAGTCTCCTAGCCAAGCATGTAATTCAATTTTGGAATTTGGTCTTTATTGCCTTTTAGTTATTTATAGTTTATAAAAGCACAGGACTAAATATATTTTCAATAAAAAGTATTACAGCGTACATACAAATATACAGGATAAAACAGTATGTGTAGCAGCAAAACTCAAGTTTTTTACGTGAGTGAGCTTCAAAGCCGACTACTTACTTGGCTAAAGAATGAGACTTAGTCTGTGTTTAAAGCCTCAGCTCCATGACCTCCTTACTGAAAATACTGAGCGTACTAAAAAGAATCTACTGTGTGGTTTGCACTAATGTTTGTAACAGTAGTTTTTGTTCATTGACTTTTCTCTTGTGCTTGTAGTGTTTATTATATTTCATGCTTCCTGGAAGGAGGGAAGCAAGCAAATGGAAGTGGGCTCTAATCTACATGGAAGATTGAAATCTGAGCTTTGCAGCTAAACTTTGTCTGCCTTGGAGACCGACCCAAAACACTAGGTAAGATGATCTCGCCGTTGTGCAACAAATCTCTACAGTTTTAGCCAGTCTGCAAGTTCCAGGCAAGCAGGACAGGGAAGTGAAACCAGTTGCAGCAGCGCGTATTGTCCAGGATGCGCACTGCTTGCAGAAATGAGGGTTGTGTCAAAAGCCCAGTGTTTCTAGGCAAAGAGGAGAGGAATGGCTGTGCCATGACTAAACTAGTGGATTAAATTCATCCTCAGCTTTACACAGACATCCTGTGAGACCCCAAGAGAACAACTTTGTTATGCCTCACTTTCTTCTTCTGCAAGAGAGGGAGCAGTAATGTCCTACCTGACAAAGAAGCAGTAGAGCTGAATCCACAGGTGTTGGTGATGCACACCGATGCGGGGGTGACTGGCAGGCACTGAACACCTCCCGTAGCTTTTGAGTTTCCATCCTTCTCTAACAGCCGGCCTGCCCCATGACGGGGGTGCCGCGAGGCTGCGGGTCCTCCTGGGCAGTCAGCTCATCTCTGTCCTGGCCCCTGTCAGAGTGCCGTAAGGTGAAGCTTCTTGGCTGTTGGAAGATCATGACAAAGGCAGTTTCATTAGTGTGTTTCTTATGGCAGGATTCTGAAAAGTTCTTCTTTTAAAAAAAAAAAAGGCACTGGTTGATCAAGCTGCCTGCTGTTATTTAAAATCTATACAGACTGGTCCAGTTTCACTGGTATTTACATTAAATAAGAGAATGGCTTTGCTGGGTCATTGCTCCTTAGAAACATCAGGTTGTTGTTGATGTGGTTGTATGTGTTAAGAAAAGCTGTTAATGAGACAAGGCCTCGATGTAGGCTCAGTCATGCAGGCTGACACTCATTTCTGGGCATAGGTTTACACAAAGGTCACAAGCCAAAGCTTTTTCAGTGGTGGCTCAGATTCATCTTCCATTTAGATCATTACAAAGACTCGGTGGAATTAGAGCAGCCGAGTGACAATCTGAATCAGAATAAATTTTGGTCAAGATACCAAATTAACGCCGCAGAAGAATTCAGACCTTTTTTCTGGATTTAAACTCTCTTTCCTCCTTTCCTCCATCAATACAACTTCAGTAGATACAATTTACACTTAAAACAGATAGCAACCAAAGTTATGTCCATTCAAAAGACAAATTACTAATCTGCTTCAGAGTCCTTGCTACTGTATGGCGACAGCTCTGTTTAGCTGACTTTAAACTATGACTTAAAAAGTTAAAAAAATATTGTTACACTGACTTGTACCAACAGGCTTCTTCCTGGCTTTCCCACTGAAAGAGTAAACTCATGTCAGAAAAGATGTAATTTATATCCACCTGCTGTCATTAAAAGATAGTATTAACTGTAGTACTGGAAAAAAAGTGGTTGATATTCCTATAAATTCTATAATAATTCAGTTTGCCTAAGAGCTGTCTGCAAAGCTTTAGGTCAGCATTTGTTTATAGCTGCTATGAAGCTATAATATAATTACTGCTGGTTTTTTTTAACTGAAATGAAATGGAGAGATGGAATATATATTCATGGAGTCAGTTGTACATTTCCTTCATGCACTGAAGCACATTAAAGTCTTGGCACAAGAAATGGTAGTAAGTATATAACTGGACCGAACGTGTTTACTAAGTCATCACCAGCTTGACACAACATCCAAGATTGCAGCACAACCTGGATGAGATGTTACAGTATTAACTAGTTCTGTCAAAGTATCTTGACTACTTTCATCATGCAGCAGTATGGTTTAAGCACATGATAGCTGCAAAGATACGTGATGGATCATAAAACATATAAAAAGAGGGCTGAGCTCCAGCTATAAAAAGACCTTTTTGCATATAGCCGCACAAGACACTAGATTAAAATTCAATGTAAATCTTGAAGTAAGTCTTAGCCCAAACTCAGTTTTCCTCCTACTTTGCTTTATTGTCCTTTGCACGCAGTCCCCGTGCCCGAAGTTGAATGCTCGGGCTGAGCTGCTGCAGGCTCCCACAAACCGAGCCCTAACTCAGCTGAGAGCTCAGCCGGGGCGGGCAGGCACTGTTACAGAAACCTGATGCCTAATAGCAAGAGATTAAAATTAATGTCTGTTACAACACCTCAGTTTGTTCGTGTGTTTAGTCCTACGCCTCCCAAAGTGTTTCCTCAGTCCTGCGCCTCCCGAAGTGTTTCCTCGGGCATAGCCAGCACCTTCATTCCTTGGTTGTTTCACAAAGCGGTTTAGAGCACTTTGTGGATTGTAGGATCGGATCAAGTATTTGTAACGATACTTCACCTATGCCTGGGTTACCCTTCTGAAAGAAGATAGTCAATACGTTTGTCTACTTATCTTTTCATTAAATCAACAAGTATGGCTAACTACTTTTTGAAGATTGCTTCCCTCCCCCCTCCAATCCTACAATTAGACTTTATCTGTCCATTGCAAGAATATCTTGTTCCTGATGGCCATCAAAGCATTCCAATGTAAGCTGTAAAAAAAAAAAAGGTCACATAACAGAACCTATAGTCATTTGTATCCTACTTTCATAGACCTGGGAACTATATTAGCAGTATTTTAGCCAATATTTGCAGGAATAAAAAGAGGTTTTGTTGTAAGACCTCTTAAAGGATGGATATTTGGCATTTCTGAAAACTCAGACCCATTTGAAGATGTTTCATGGTGCATAAAAATCACTAATAATTTGAATTTCCTAACCTTCATCTAAGTAGTTCCAAAATTGTGCTCCTAACCAAAGCAGAAGGGCCATTGTGAGTTTAAGTTCTACACAGTAAAAGGAAGTTCTCTGTCTTTAAAACATTGTTTTGCAGTATTTGGGCCTCTAGATTTTTTAGTTAGGTGCATCATGGGTATATTTTTTAATCTCTTACTAAACTTTGTTAGAAAACTTTTCAAATAAACATTAGAAGTATGTTAACCTGTCTTAAACCTTTTAAGCTGCTGTGATCTGTAACGATGTTAAATAAACCTAAAACCAGCTGCTTTCATGTTCTTTTATTTATGATGTTCAAAACCCCAAAGTACAACATACTTGACGTGAATACATTCAATATCTTATGCATTGCTTCTTTCCCATTTTTTGCTTCTTTCCCAGTGCAGGGGAAAGATCTTTTAAGATCTAATTAGCAACTGTGATTGAAATGTGCTATCAAAATGAAGAACAAATAAATAAATTGAAGATCTATTCTGTGATGTTTGGGGTTTTTTTCTTCCTTAAGACCATTGTTTTTTGTTTTTTTCCCCAAATGTACAACATTTCCAATTTGAGTTTTCACTTAGCAGAGGACAGCGAAACGAAATGAGACACCTCAGAGTTCTGGAAG